AAGGACACATGGCACAGTGGATAAAGGCGTTGGTTAGATCCAGTGACAGGACCCAAAGTGTGTGAGTTCAGTACCTGGTTAAGGCGGTGGAGAACCTTGAAAAGGGAATTAACAGGAGATAACTGACATTAGATGTGGAACTAGGAACAGTCTACCCCAGTGAGTGAAATAAAGGGTTCAGTTCAACATTCCAACCAGAGAAGAAGGCCGGAGTGTACAACAGCTGAAATGTTGTGATAAAGATGAGGACAATAGTCCAAATAATGTAAATAGTGTACATAATACCTCATCTCAGAAATATAGACAGATACAGATTATTATTAGATGACTGGAATTATTTTATTCAAATGAAAACATTTTAAATCTGACCGCATGGCTAATAAATAGAAAGAGAAACCTTTTCTCTGATCCCTGAGCTTATCAGAAAATGCTGACCAAGAGAAAAAGGATAAAGACAAAAATGACATGATCCAATCAGTGTTTTTGCTGCCTGTCTTTGTACACATGAAGACAGCCATCAAATGGATTGTCCCAAATGTGGTAACCAGAAAAAGAACAAGATCAATAGTCCTAACAACTGTGGAAATCAATATGTAAATCAAGTTCCGCACCAAAGGAAATAATTTAAAAAAAAAAAAACCTACAAACAAAACAAAAAGGTGAGAAATACTTTAACTGAAAATCTATTTGCGTGCCTGTCAATGTAGCATTCAAATAAAGCGTTAGGCTGAATCACGACAAAAGTAAAATGGAAGATAAGACAAAGATGTCTGAAAAAGAAAGAAAAAGAAAATATTTCCAAAATTAATAAATTAGAATGCTGAAGAGATAATGAAGTTCATGAAGAAGTCACCAAGATGCAGAAAAATGTAAAGTGTTAAGAAAAGTCAGGCAATAAAGAAACATGCCCCCCCACCTTTGTCACAAAACAGCAAAACAGATCAATAATAGAAACTAACTTCTGAATATCTTCAACAGGATTCCTAATTTACTTTTTATTTTAAGAAAGTTCGGCATTAATAAGAAGAAATATGGATGTAGGAGGAAAGTGGAGGCACAGAGAGAGAGAGAGGAAATGGAACAGAGAGAGAGAGAGAGGAAATGGAACAGAGAGAGAGAGAGAGGAAATGGAACAGAGAGAGAGAGAGAGGAAATGGAACAGAGAGAGAGAGAGAGGAAATCGAACAGAGAGAGAGAGGAAAACGAACAGAGAGAGAGAGAGGAAAACGAACAGAGAGAGAGAGAGGAAAACGAACAGAGAGAGAGAGAGAGGAAAACGAACAGAGAGAGAGAGAGAGGAAAACGAACAGAGAGAGAGAGAGAGGAATGGAACAGAGAGAGAGAGAGGAAATGGGAACAGAGAGAGAGAGAGGAATGGAACAGAGAGAGAGAGAGAGAGAGAGAGAGAGAAATGGAACAGAGAGAGAGAGAGAGGAAATGGAACAGAGAGAGAGAGAGGAAATGGAACAGAGAGAGAGAGAGAAATGGAACAGAGAGAGAGAGAGAGGAAATGGAACAGAGAGAGAGAGAGGAAATGGAACAGGAGAGAGAGAGAGGAAATGAAATGGAAGAGAGAGAGAGAGGAAATGGAACAGAGAGAGAGAGAGAGGAAATGGAAGAGAGAGAGAGGAAATGGAACAGAGAGAGAGAGGAAATGGAAGAGAGAGGAAATGGAACAGAGAGAGAGAGGAAATGGAACAGAGAGAGAGAGGAAATGGAACAGAGAGAGAGACAGAATGAGGAACTGGAACAGAGAGAGGAACCGAGACAGAGAGAGGAACCGAGACAGAGAAAGGAACTGGAACAGAGAGAGAGACAGAGAGGGGAAATGGAACAGAGAGAGAGACAGAGAGGGGAAATGGAACAGAGAGAGAGACACAGAGAGGGGAGAAGGAAAGCGGCAGAGACAGAGAGGGGAGAAGGAAAGCGGCAGAGACAGAGAGGGGAGAAGGAAAGCGGCAGAGACAGAGAGGGGAGAAGGAAAGCGGCAGAGAGAGAGGGGAGAGGGAAACAGAGACAGAGAGAGGAGAAGGAAAGCGGAGTGACAAAGAGGGAGAGAGGAGAAGGAAAGAGGGAGAGACAGAGAGAAAAGAAGTGTTAGAAAAGTTAGAGTCTTGTGTTGGTAATTGTCTCCAAATTAAAATATATGAAAAACAATATCAAACCGAAGAGAAAACCTGAATAAATTTGTGTCAGTCCCATTCAAATAAATATGTACACCTCTCTTTCTTCTTCACTTTCTTAATTGAACCCTCAGGCTGAAAAGATCATTCATCCTTGTTTGAAAGGGCATCCAATCATTTTGAAAGACAATTGGAAAAAAAAAAAAAAAAAAAAAAAATTTTGTCCTTGAGAATTTTTGGAAAAAAAAAAAAATTAAAGACATCCTGGAAATTAAAGCAAATATAATAAACAATTTCTATTATTTCCAGTCATTTTTCAGTTTAAGCAAGTATGAAAAACTTTGGGTCAGCAAATTTAGGCCAATTATTAAAGTGCTGCACTTCTTACAGAGAATGGTACATGTCTACGATGGAGACTAATATAAGGGACTGGTTTGATGACTCATATATATATATATATATATATATATATATATATAATATCGTACATTGAGTGCCGGTGTTAAAATAGTGCTCAATGTACAATAACTGGTAGTACAACTTTGAGTTTCATGCACAGCGCAATCTTCAGGTGCTGATTGACCATTATATAATTTAAATTTATATATATATATATATATATATATATATATATATATATATATATATATATATATATATATATATATATATAAAAATAACTGGACTATAATGATGGGGGCAGTCCATGGGATAGGTTTTTTAAAAAAAAAAAAAAAAATAAATGTCATGGTACTGGTTATTATATATAAGGGCTCCTTGGCATGGTGTAATGGTTAGCAAGCTGGTCTTGCTAAAACTGTTACAACTGAATAGTGAGTTCGATCCTCACTGGGTGCACCATACTTTCGGCCATGTGCCACATCTAAGCCTCGCTTAGAAAAACTATATATATATATATATAAAAACAAAACAAGCTTTGTTGAACAATATTGACAAGGTCTATCCAATTTTTTATTAAGCTTTTCAATTTCTAAGTTGTTTTATACAATTGGTAAACTTTCTAAAGACATACCTTGTTGATATTGTTCAACAGAACTTATTTAAAGCATTCTTGCTACCTAAAAATACATTATTTGATATATATATATATATATATATATATATATATAAATTTCAAATGTATTTTTTTTTTGATAATGGCTAAAGGGATAGCTGAAAGCACTCGGAAATATAAAACATTTGGTTACAGTTCTTACACACCTTTGTCCAGAAAAGAAAGCTCTTGTTCGAACACAAGAAAAATTAAATAAAAAACTTAACTGTAGTACCTTGTTTGTCGTTTTTAATGAAACCTGCATATATTTATATATATATATATATATATATATATATATATATATATATATATATATATATATATATGGTAATTGAATGAAAAAGTGGAAAAAATCTTACGTAACCTTTTTCGTCCACTAAAAGGATTTCAGACTGAAGTAGTATTCTCATTTATTCTGATGAAGTCCTTTATGAGGCTGAAACATGTTACACAGACATTTTTTTTTTCCCCCTGTCATTCAATTACCTAGTATTGTGTCTTTTCTTTTTAATCATTTCACCTCCAGTCAGGGTGGAAAATGCCACTAGAATGCTGAGGATTACAGGGAATCAAAGTGAGAGAAAAGATGGGATGTAGGGAGGATTGAGGAAAAGACAAAAGATGAACGCAATGCAAGAAGAAAGAAGATGGTGATTGATGTTGCATTTAAAATTTTGAAGATTGTAGTTATCAGGGAAGCAAGGAAATGGAAGGGAGTTTCAATGGTGGGAAATGCAGGAAAAGAAACCATTGAAATTTCTGGTATAAAGAAACTTGTATATCCTGTTCTTTCTCACAGATAAAGAAACACCTTGAAGTGACAGATGTGGTTTTGCCTATTAATACTAAGAATACAACAGACAGAAAATGTAATGAACAAAGAATTTTTTATTCCAGAGAAACTTTTACTAATGACCAGAGACAGTTGAATTTTATAGAATGTAAATAAATTTGAGAGAAGCAGAGGAAGGTAGTAAATTGCCTTACTAAAAAGTTTGGATCAACAAAGAAAAAGAAACAAATATCCCAAAGCCAAAAAAAAGAAGAAAAAGTGTTGCAGAGAATAAGAAATAGAAAACTATGGAGGGCTATGATCACAAGTTCTGAAGAGACATGAGCACAGTAATTTTGAAGTCTCCGTAATTAATTTCTATGTTCATCAACAAAAGAAACAGCCCAAGTGTGAATGACATATTTGGGAACATCAAAATCAAGTAGGTGCAGAAACTTGGCTATCTGGCTAGTACGGAAGAAGGTGACAGAAAATGAGACAAAGAAATCTCAAGGCACATATTGCAATATGAGCACTGATAAAAAAAGGTCCTCAAGGACACATGGCACAGTGGATAAAGGCGTTGGTTAGATCTAGTGACAGGACCCAAAGTATGTGAGTTCAGTACCCAGTTAAGGCAGTGGAGAACTTGGAGAGGGGAATTAACGGGAGATAACTGACATCCACTATACATGGCACATGGAACAAGAACAGTCTACCCCAGTGAGCGAAATAAAGGGTTCAGTTTGACATTCCAACCACTTGAGGAAGGCCAGAGCGTACAATGGCCAAAATGTTGTAATAAATATGGCGTCAAAGATGAGGACAATAGTCTGAATAATGTAAATAGAATCCTGAACTTTTTCTTATTTTTCTTAACCTTTTACCAACATTATTCCACTTATGGAATGTATTTCAAGATACATTTTTGGATACCAGACAATCATTAATTTTGATTAGTTCATCAATAATATATACAGAAAATACAAAAATACTAGATGTGCTTACACATTGTGTTAAAATACAATTAATGCTTGCCTGGTATACATCGAAACACTGGTTTCCATACGATCACTGAAGTTAAACAACATTGAGCCTGGTCAGTAGCTGGATGGGTGACTGCTTAGGAATACAAGGTGCTTTAAGCTTACAAGTAGTGTAATGGATAATGGTTTGAAATCGTTAATCAGAGAGTCAAGTTCCAATTCCAATTGGGCTTGTTATATTCACTTACATGCAATTACCCTTGGGAAAGGTACAAATCTACCTTTTCTCCCCCAGCAATGGGTTAATTAGTATCTTATATCACTAAATCTTCATTATCTCCCTAAAAATTCTTATAATCTTCTGGCTTTAGATAAACTGCAAAAGGTTGATGCGTCATAGAAAACAAATTATTCAATGGATGTGCAGATGGTGTAATGAATAATGGCTCAGAATTGTTAATTGGAGAGCAGAGTTCCAATTCCAGTTGAGTTTGTTATAATCATTTATACCAAATACCCTTGAGAAAGGTATGAATCCACCTCTTCTAAGCTAAAAAATTATTATCTTAAAAGAAAAAGATTGCATACAAAGTATTTAGATATCAGCATTAATTAACCTATATGCTGATAAACAAAAACCATGAACCAATCATCTGGTATAAAAAAATAAGTCTTAAAATTTTAAAAAAAAAAAATGTTCCACTAATGTAATAATAAGCACTAAGATGTTAAATTCTTTTTGAAATTAATATAATTGTTACTTGTGCGTGCGAAATAGCGTCAAATAAATTAAGCTTATGGTTTGTCCACCTCTAGAATTAGATTAATATTATCACTAGACTTATCTAACACAAGACTTGTTTTCTCTTGCTGTAGTTAGACAGCTCCTGACCTCTCCCAGCTCGGTGTCCTATCCTCTCCTCTGATTTTATACTAAAAGATACAATGAATATTCAATTTATGCCACAAATAAAAGCAGTTGCACCTTTTCAAGAGAGTTTCTAATAATTGCAGTTGTCAAATCATGCACAGCCCACTCAGTGTGAAGATGACTAATAAAACCTTGGTTTTTACTCGTTCTGTGGCTATCCTTGCCCACAGTTTTAGTGAATGTCCATTTACAGAAAGTGAGATTTCTATGTGCTGTCTCCCATCAGGACATGGACGATCATGACTCTCTACAACTTCCTATCCTTTGTAGTTCTTAGCAAGCTTTGTCTTTTTTTACTATTCCTCTCACTCCAAGTTCTGCCATTCTTTTACATAAGCTTGAAATTTCTAATTTATTCACTGCTTTCTCCGTCCCTCTTGCCTTCAATATATCTTGTGAGTGTCAAATTTGCCAGACCTTCTTTTCTCAGTGTGTTCCAGATATTTCAACTGCGTCTTTCCGATTTTATTCATAATTGTTTTTTTCCTTTCCAGATTTACATGTGCATGAGAGAGAAAAAAAGACGAGACTGACTGCTGGCTTTAAAGTTTGTTTTGCATGTCTATCACTACTTCATTGCTATTTTCATGTTCAGATGAGCTCCATTTTTTAGTTTCAACAGTTCAGAACTTTACAGCTTCCTAAGAAGAATCTGCAATGTTGCTGGTCTTGACCTGACATCACAGCATCAATCACTTTCTCACTGCTATAATGTAGCTTCCCTGTGCCTGTTTTATAAATAGTTTCATGGTAATTGTTCTGATGAACTTTCCTCTTTTGTACCTTGATGTTACAAATTTAAACTCAGCACTAGATTGGCAGTTAGGTCTCATAATTTCACTGTTGAAACTGCTAGATGTAACTATAAGTTCTATGCTAACAGTTTTTTCTCTCACATTTCATATTTGTAGAACTCTTCCAGCTTCTTGCTTTCCAGTCAGCTTTGATGCCAAAAATTTAAATCTAATGTCAATCATTATCTTCCGCTTTCTTAATTCCTGTTTTTTTTTTTTTTTATATTATTCTCTCTCACCTTAATGTTTTTCTCATATTCTTTTACATTCAGTATAGTGTCTTTATTGCCTTGCTTAGGACGAAATAATTAAAAAGAAAAAAAATATCAAGCTACGGACTTATTTCATGTATATTCCATTTGTAAGGAGAAAGTTCCACTCGCACTGCTTTTTTTCCCCTGTGAAGTGCTACTTTGTGGAACAAACTCCCATGCAGACAGAAAATTTTCTTTCTTTCTGGACATAAATTATGTAGAAATTATTCGAATGTTCTGTATGTCAGTGTCCTTTCAGGTATATTTTAGCCATAATCAAGGATGATTTTATTTTTACATTCAGTTAAAACTAAAAGAAAATTATAAGAACATAAGAAAAATTAAATAAAAATACTAAGTCACAGTACCTTGTTGATTAATGAAACTTGTGTGTGTGTGTGTGTGGGTGGGTGTCAGTGACATATTTATTTATATAACTATATTTGAAGAAATTTTTATGGGACAAACAACAAACCTGGTATTGAACCCTATTTTTGCGGACATAAAGAGAATTGTCCAGTAGAGGGCAAATGCAAAATATACCAGGGTTATATATCAAGTTATCATTTACACAAAGCAAATATGAAAAATTTTGTTTACATTGGAACTTCTGCAGGGGAATGGAAACAAAAGTTTTATAATCATAGGCACTCATTTTCTAACTCTACGCTTAATAGTCTTAGAGATCGGTGTGACTTACATTTAGAAGAAAAAATTAGAATAATAAAAAAACAATTAAAGCCAGCTATTGTATCAGAGGAATGAATTAGTGTTAAAATGTTGACATAAGGACAAATTCATATTTCCATAATATAGGTTTAAATAATTTAGCTACCACATTTCCATAATATAGGTTTAAATAATTTAGCTACCACATTTCCATAATATTCACACCTAACTCTTCAAATGTTGACAGTATAACCAATTCTAACTTCTATATTCAATTTCTCCTTTATAACCTCTTTACACTATATTAATTATAATTTATAAACTTTCCCCTACTTTAATATCTCCCAACTCTTTCTATTGATTCCTTACATCTATATATTTTAAATTCATTTTTAGACCCCTTTTTATTCCTCTTAATTTTAAATTAAAATTTAATTCTTCATATAACCCCAAATTAATGTCATAACGTTAATATTTGGGTTTAATTTTATAAAACTTTTTCCCTTTAAGACACATACCTTCCACCCTCCCCTGACCGCTGTCTCATGCCTTGTGTCTGACTGAAACATTGAAATAGATAAACATTGTATTAGTTTTTTGATGTTTGTTTTTTTTTTAGCTTTCACAGTTAAATTCTACTTCCTGCCCCTCCTAACTGTATAGACATGAACTCAGTCCATGCCAGGGTGGATAAGACAGATGACCGATATCTGTGTCTGCTGAAATAGGCTATTCCTCATATGAGGTAATTTTGGATTTTATTGTTTATTAATTATATATATATATATATATATATATATATATATATATATATATGTGTGTGTGTGTGTGTATGTATATGAGACTTATGGTAATTTACCCATGCACATATGGATATAGAATTGAATTTATAAACTGGTAACATCTCCCCATACATGAAATCAAACAGCAAGTTAAAATATATTAAGTGCTGTATAAAACCACCTGAAAACTGATCAAACATGTCTCAAAAGCCATGGTCTAGAAATTCTTCAAATAAAAATATTTTTGAAGAAAAAAAAAGAAAGAGTATGAGAGAGCCTTAATAGAAGAAGGGCACAAAACCAGACTTGAATTTAAACCCCAAACAATTCAACCTATTGGGAACAACAAAAAGAGAGACATTGTTTGGGATACAATTGAGTTTCATTTTTATGGAAAATATTTTTCTTTCGTCAAATCTGTTTCTGGTAATATTTTTTTCCTCAAAAACGTATTGCAGGTAATATTTTTTTTTTCAAAAATGTATTGCTGGTAATAGTTTCTTTTTTCTTTAAAAATTTATTTCTGGTAATAATTTTTTTTACAAAGTATTTCTGGTATTAAAATGTATTTTTACACTTTCAATAATGTTTTTTTACCTCAGTTTCAGGGTTAACTATTTGCCCATAGCTGGGACCCTAACAGGTGCTACCACCCAGGGTCAGGGTGGACCTGGGAGTAACAGCAATTAAGAGGTGGTTCCATGCTCCTCAAAACCTCCAAATCAAAAGCCTTGTTGCTGGATGTAGTTTATTATCTTACCCAGGATGCAGATTTAGTTTATCGTCATACCAGGATGGTCTGTGGATAGGGTAAACCTTGTTTATATATATATATATATATATATATATATATATATATATATATATATATATATATATATATATATAAGTATCTTTTAGAAATATGCTTAGTCGTGTGTATATATATATATATATATACACACACACACACATCTAAGCATATTTCTTTCTAGGTTTCTTAATAAGTTAATACTGTAGTCTCGTGCCTGTCTAAATTACACTTTGTCAACAACTATTCAATCAGTGACATGCAGAGGTTTGGTGATGCCCAGGGCCAAGTCAGTGTTTGTATGACCCAAAGAATCAAGCTGCGGAGCCTATAAGACTTAGTACCAAGGAATGTGAAAAGGATACATTTTAAATATGTAAAAACATGAAATAAACACTTTATTCAAAACTAAATTTTTTATTATTTCACTCTTATTAGATACTCTCCTGATATGAATGCTCAGGGCCACAACACCTTCTTCCCCTCCCATTTCTGCATGTTACTGTATACAAGAAGATAAGTCTATCTTAGTATTAATATTTCATTTCTTTTTTTTAGCAAAGCCTGTTTTATATCCACGTTAATATGTTGATATGACATTGTACTAATGACCTGACTTAAATTTCCATTGATGATACAAGCAAGAGTAATAACATAGGCAACCACTTTACAAACAGTTTCCATGGAAATGAAAATAATATTCTTACAGAGCCATACCTACAGTCCTTAGCTTGAAAGCCAAAACCATGACTATCAAGGTCAGTGAAAGTGCTAATCTGTTTACTCAGAGATCAAAGTAACCAGACTTCATGTTCGTGAACAAATAGTCCTAGTGGTCAGAGAAGAAAATGACAAGACTTAAGTGTACACAATGTTCCAAAGTAATTTCAGTTTCAATGCAATCAACTGTAAAGGTATAGAAAAGTCTCTTTGCT